TCAAATTTTATTTAAACTTTGAAGGACCATTAAAGTTTCTAGAGGAAGCTTCGAATTGATTGTTTAAACTTTGTTTCGATCCTATTTAAGGAGAAGAAGATTTTCACGAAGGGAAAAAAGTTTGCTGCCATTGAAATATACAAGAATTAGAATAATAGTGTTCAGGCTAGAGTTGTTAAATGAGTCGAGCGAGCTCGAGTATCTATTATTCGATTTCGACTCGAACTTGTTAATATTATAGGATCAAATCGGCTTGATAAAAATTTGAGCTAAAATAGTCACTTAAGGTCCGCTCGTGAAGTTCAAATTCAAGCTCGACCTCGGCTTGTAAAGCTGGAACTGAAGCTTGAGTTCAAGTTTGACTTCAATTTTATACATATTCTATATATTTTTTACTATATCAATTAAATATATTTAATTTTATTCATAATTTATTTTAATAATATATTCAAATTTTATTTAAACTTTGAAGGACCATTAAAGTTTCTAGAGGAAGCTTCGAATTGATTGTTTAAACTTTGTTTCGATCCTATTTAAGGAGAAGAAGATTTTCACGAAGGGAAAAAAGTTTGTTGTCATTGAAATATACAAGAATTAGAATAATAGTGTTCAGGCTAGAGTTGTTAAATGAGTCGAGCGAGCTCGAGTATCTATTATTCGATTTCGACTCGAACTTGTTAATATTATAGGATCAAATCGGCTTGATAAAAATTTGAGCTAAAATAGTCACTTAAGGTCCGCTCGTGAAGTTCAAATTCAAGCTCGACCTCGGCTTGTAAAGCTGGAACTGAAGCTTGAGTTCAAGTTTGACTTCAATTTTATACATATTCTATATATTTTTTACTATATCAATTAAATATATTTAATTTTATTCATAATTTATTTTAATAATATATTCAAATTTTATTTAAACTTTGAAGGACCATTAAAGTTTCTAGAGGAAGCTTCGAATTGATTGTTTAAACTTTGTTTCGATCCTATTTAAGGAGAAGAAGATTTTCACGAAGGGAAAAAAGTTTGTTGCCATTGAAATATACAAGAATTAGAATAATAGGGTTTAGGCTAGAGTTGTTAAATGAGTCGAGCGAGCTCGAGTATCTATTATTCGAGTTCGACTCGAACTTGTTAATGTTATAGGATCGGATTGGCTTGATAAAAATTTGAGCTAAAATAGTCGCTTAAGATCCGCTCGTTAAATTCAAATTCAAGCTCGACCTCGGCTTGTAAAGCTGGAACTGAAGCTTGAGTTCAAGTTTAACTTCAATTTTATACATATTCTATATATTTTTTACTATATCAGTTAAATATATTTAATTTTATTCATAATTTATTTTAATAGTATATTCAAATTTTATAAATAAATAAATTGTTGATATAAAAATTATATATATATTATGTTATACTAAAATATGAAATTATATAAACATACCATCACTAACAAGCTCAATTGAGCCACCCACAAGCCGTATAGGAGCTCAGCTCGTTTATAAAAATAATAATTTTCAAACTTGTGCGCGACTCGTTTATTTCTATAAATGAGTCAAGTCAATCTGTTAACGAGTCGGGTCGAACTTGACTTGCGTGCTATTCGGTTCGTTTAACCATTCTAGTTGAGGCTTTGTAAAGATGAATTTAAGAAGGATTTTACCACGCCATTCAATAATTCTTGGGTTAATTTTTTTATTGATGGTTTCTTGTTGTCTTACGTAGAGCTTATTAAGTTTGTAACTTTCTCGTATTATGCTTGAATCCTATATTTAGATTTCAGTATAATCTTATCAATACATTAAATTACTTAAGTCTATCAAATTTTTTTTGTATTACATTTTATTTTGATGATCAATAACATAATTCTATTATTTTTTCCCAAAATTTTTAACATTAGTAGATGAACCTGATTGGTACTCCCCAAGGCAGGCTTTCGAATAGGCTGAACTAGGTGATATATCATATGTTTGACAAATTTAACGTTATATTGTCTATTTTCAAGACCTACAATTCCTAATTTTTATTTTATTTATTTATTTAGTTTATCTAAACGAACCACAATGTCCTATAATGCATCATTCAATTCTGTTATGTAGTGACGGTGCTCTATATACTATTTTAGGTTTGGCAGAACTATTACCTAGTACGGCAATTTATTTTATTAAATTGTATAGAGAAATTGACTTAAAATGTATGGCCCATCCTAATAAAATATGTTATAAAAGTCCATGAACTATTTAATATTCTATTCGTCCCGGATATTTTGTTCGTTTTTTACTGTAGACACGAGAATTCAAGAGGAATATAATTAGTAAATAATTAAAAATATATTAGTGAAAATAATTATGTATAATAAAAATAATTATAAATTAAGATTAAGATAACTTATTAGTATAATTAAAATTAAAAAAATTATAAATTAAATTTTTTAAAATAAGATTAAAATGTACTTCATACGTCATGCAAACGTGTGCTCATTTGACCGGATACGAATTTTAATAAAAATGAGTAATAATTGTTAATTTTTTCTTTTACAGTAAAAAATAGTACAAAAATGAAATGATTTTTTACTTAAAAAGCAAATGAGAATATTTTTTTTTATGACAATCCAAAAAGAAAAGTGAACATAAATTTGAATGATGGAGGGAGTATAATTTTTTTTCAAAAAAAGGAAAGTGACAACATAAATGAGACGGACGAAAATGAAAAAAATAGACATGAAAAATGAGACTGGATGGAATAATTTAATAGAGAAGTGACAGTTTGTCAATTTATTTATTTATATTTATATTTTTTAATGAAATACACTAACCCATATGTTCAAACCGCCAAATCAATGGATTGTACCTATTTTTATATTATATCCGTTCGAAGGGTCTCATTTATTTTTTTACGTGTTGATCTTAAAATATTAATTATTATATCATAACATAGTACAAATTAAAAAAAAAATAAAAAATATTTTTATTAGTATCTTATAATACTAATGAAGAATATTTGTACAAAAAATTATATAAATATAGTGATATTTTTAATATTAACTATAATGACTCAAAAGATAAATGTGACCTTTAGATGCGGATGGATGGAGTATTATTTTTCCGATCAATTAAAACTATTTTTTACACAAATTTTTTTTTACTTTAATTTTAAAATTAAATAATATTAAGAAAATAAAAATAAAAATTCAAACTAAAATTGACAATTCAAACTGTTTGAAAGGTTCAATTTCAGTTAAATCTTTCGGCAAAATGAAACTTGCAATTCGAATCGTTTGAGGAAGTCTACTCCCAGTCCTATTTATTTCCAATTTTTCCTTTACTATCTAATCTCTAAAATTTTCTAAATAAATATTACATTTAACTATTTTTTTATACATAATATCTTATTTAACAATTATTTCAATAAATAAAAATTTAAAAATATATATATTATTTCAACACTTATTATTATTACTATTTTACATTTTAACATTATCGAAATACCAAAGCATATCTAAACTACCTAGTAACATATTTACTTTTACAATTACTAATCACAATATCTTATTTAACTACTCTAACACCTATTTATTATTTTTTTTTTATAAAATATTATATCAAAATACAATTAAAATAAAATTGAAACTCAAATTAGAATTAAATTCATAATTAATGTGCCATAAGAAATAATTAATTGATTGGATAAGTACTTGTTTTTTTTTAAGACAAAATTACATATAAGCCCAAATACATGAAAGTTATTGGATTCAATGTGTGTAATATGTTACACAATGACAATGTTTGAAATTAAAATATGACATTTATAGCCAATATGATGGCCATAATATCATATGCTATATGTTGGATATTATTATTAATTATTATTTGATGCTTTTAACATGCCATTCATGCCCTTTTAATTAATTTTTGTTATAACGTAGGAATCCCTAACTGCTCTCCGACGAGTACGATATGGACAAACTCCCGGTCGAGTCTAATACCCTGCAAATTAAGCTCGACAAAACAAGTCATACTAGGCGAATTATGTGTGACAGATGGACCTGAAAATTGTAAAGTTGATTGGTTGATGACAAAAAAAAAAAAAACTCTCATTCTCTCCTTCAAGGTGTCTCGTTTGTCTTGCTGAAGAATATCGTTATTCTATGCACAACATATTAGTTGTCTCTCCATGATATTTATGTCGTTCTTTCATAGCATCATTGTTTTGTACAATTTAGTTCCTAATCTTAATTATGTTCATTAGAGTTTCGACATATTGTGGTACTACTTAAATTGGAGACAAATTTTGTTTTACCTTTAGAAACAATAAATCACCATCAGAGACACTCGGCTTTATTCATAACTAAAAAATCCTTCGCAACGTATCTCATTCTACACACAATATTTTTCTCATTCATCGGCAGCATATTCTACATCACAAGAAAGAATCTAATTTAATTGCATTAATTCTTTTTATTATTATTATTATTATTATTATCTTGCATTGCAATATTAATTTTCAACAATTGCAAGATAATTTAAATGATCTTTTCTAATATTTATATTATATTATATAATGCAAATTATTAAATTAAGGCGGTTAAAGGGCTATATTATGCCCTTAAGAAGTAAGTTTAAGCTCGAGTATGTCGGGTCTAAAGTATTTATTTTTTACCAATTTAAAAAATGAAATGGTAGATGGTTGTTTTGTTGTTAAATAAATGAACGAATTTCATCATTTTTTCCACTATATCTTCGACAACAACACAGTGTGCTACCTAGATCGTTAATTATGGATGTGAGCAAATTTAAGTGCCGGCTGAAATATGAGCTGAAGAATGTAGAACTTGAAGATTTCCTTGACCGCGCAAATCTCTATTGAGGAGGACAAATAAATGAGTGCATGTGTTATGTTTGATCTATATTAACATTTGTTTGTGGGTGTAGCGATGTATAAAATGCAAGGATGAAATCCATTGGTGTTGGCAAGTCTATATATGTACGTATATATCTAATTGGGAGTTGGATAAATTAAGACGACTACGACAACAACAACAACAATAATAATTATTAATAATTCTTTTATCTTGTTCATACACGAGAAGGGAAATATAAAACCAGCTTGCATATAAAATTTAAAGAAAATTATTTATGATTATTTATTCATCCCCTCCAATAGTAATTTATTGAAAATGTTTAGAACTTAATAAACTTATATATTATATATTAGTTCGACCGTTGTTGGAGAATTTTTATTCCCATATACCTGTAAGCATGGAAAAATTATGTCAAAACTTAAACTCGTCCATAAATATTTTGTATAATATACCAAATAATAATAATAATAACAACTAAGAGATGATGAATTACCTTCCGAGCATCATAATTGTGGCTTGAGGATTAGTTCCCGGAGACTGATCATACGTTGATGCATCGACAACGCGCAATGCATCCACGCCGATGACCTTGTAGTCACGGTCGACGACCTTACCCGCTTGGCACCCTCCATGGTAATGCCACGTCGTTCTCACCGTATCCACACAATAATGCGAGAGAGAGTACAATGACGACAAGCGTTTTACGTTCAAGTTGGTGGGAAATGCCAATCCTAATGCCAAGTACGTCGTAAATGAGGCTAAAGGGTATCGGAATGATGATAGCGAATTAGACTCCGTAACCCTTTTGATGATCTTAAGGCCTTCGACACAACTTGCGACATCCCTAGAGTCCTTCAAGTAGTTGAATGTTACCCTTTGAGTCCTATCCGGATCTCGATTCTCAAGCTCTATATCGCCCTTCGAGAAAGGTGTCTTAATCTTCTCTAGCAATTGTCCCGCTTGGAACGGTGTCGTCGTATTGACTCCACTCGGTAAGTAGATGTTATTGGGAATTTCGAAAGTAGGTAATGTCTGAGAAATTGTATACAATGTAATGAATATTTATGGAAAGTATTTGCTGAATTTGAAAAATCAGTACCGTTCTAATCAGTACTCGTAATATATACAAACAACACAAAATCTTATTATACACCGCACATGTTGTGTATATATAATAAAGTCATGTGTTGTTTATTTATAATTATAAGTGCGCTTTATAACAATACTTAGTGTGCTGAAATAACTGTTGTGTGTGTTATATGAAACTATTGCATGTGATGTTAGTTCATATGTTATATTTGTATTATATAAATACATACAGTGTGCAATCTAAGGATGGAGAAATTTACCGAACATATCGAAATACCGACTTATCGTACCGCATCATGTCGAAAATACCAAAAATTTCGGTATTGTATGGATATCGTATCGAAGTTTTCGGTACGGTATCATTATGAATTTTCGGAAAGTTCGATATTTCGGTATAATACCATATCGATATTATTTTTATTAAATAATTTAATTATTAATATAAATAATAGTTATTAACTTTTTTAAAAATCATAACAAAAAATATGTAACTATTGAAAATTTATTGATTTTTTCATAATAATATTTTTGCCGTGGAGAATGGTGATATTTATTATTTTTTTTAATTATTTTGAAATTTAAAATTATATTTTCGGTATAATCGGTATATACCGGTATCGTACCGAAATCAAAATTTTCGGTATAAACTGTATATACAGGTATCGTACCGAAATTAAAATTTTCGATATAAACAGTATATATCGATACCATACCGAAAATTTTAATATATATTGAAAATTTCGATACGATACTGTTATGTATTTTCGCCAATCCTAGTGCAGTCTGCCAGCACACGGTGTGCCACCGTAACCGCCGCCTTCGTGCACATAAGTAATATTGAAATTGCGCACATACCGTATTTGCTATTTTTGCGTAATTTTGGGCCGACGCATGAAGTGCTGAAAAGTTTAAGGACATACTAATTGATTCGAGATAATTGTTAGTGTCGGGTAATCCGGCAACCTCGACCAAAGAATATTCCAATTGCCTACGGGAAGGAAATATAACTCCGTTGAAAGGATTGTCGACCATATTTCGGCCGACATATGGTTGTCTCAATACGATCGGTATTTGATGGGCCTGAAGTTGTCGGCCCGGCCCAATACCGCTCATCATCAATAGAGGTGGGCTACCTAATGCACCAGAGGCTACAATGATCTCATTTGATGACCCATTGTTTAATCTTGCCTCATGCAGGACACCAGCCGAGTCTTTAAAGATTACTCCAATGGCCTTAGGCTTTTGCCCTGTATAAAGTAACCATGAATTTAAAAAATAAATAAATAAATTGATACTGTCTTATAATATTATTATAACAATATTTGTGTAATTACTTTTATTATAATAAAAAATTGATTCTTATGACTAAATAAACAATATATATATATATATACTCTATGATAAAATAGTATATTGATAAACCTGACCTGGTGATGTTCGAAACAGTATCTTCTGCACAATCGAATTCAAATAAACAACAATGTTGTTCGAATTCGCATACTCCAATAAATCAGCTGCACTATGCCTCGTCCCATTCTCATCAAAAATTGTCCCCCCAACTTTCGTCCCCATCAAATGCTCGTACGTAAATCCTCTGTCCGGAACCACCCCGGCCTCCACCAGCCCCCCTCGGAACCCGGCCTGCCATTGCCGGACAAGCGGCCGGAAAACTATCTTATCCTCCACCCACCTATACGACTCCTCCACCAGCCGCGGCTCCAATCCCAGCCGGCTCAAAAACTCCGGCTCGGCGCGCGAATAGAATCCGGCGTTAACTGCGGTGCCGCCGCCCAAAATTCGCGGCCGGTTGTTGAAAACTCCGTCGGCGGTTACGAACTGCTGCGCCGGCGACGTCGGCGAGGGGTCCGCTAGGGTCCGTCCGAAGCCATTTATGTTGGTGACCGACGGGTTTCCGTACGGCTGCCCGCCCCTCTCGAGGAGCAACACTTTCGCCGTGGCGGCGGAGAGTGTGGCGGCAAGCGGCGTTCCGGCGGTGCCGCCGCCGACGACTATGTAGTCGGAGTACTCTACCGGCGGCGCGGAGGTACCTTCTCTCACGAAAGAATATGGAGCTGCAGTTTTAGGAGAAATGTAATAGCAAATTATAGGGTTAGCACGTCGATAAAATTGTAATTATTATTTTATTAATCGAAAGATTTTTATTTGTTTGTTATTATTTTTTAAGGGACATTGGAACATAAAATTGGATTCTTGAGAACGAAACAGACCTTTTTCAGCAAAGCCCGAAGCAATAAGGAAGAATATTCCTATTAAAGAAGGGAGAGTGGGAAACCCCATATCTTAGAAAATGTTATATTTTTTTGTATGTGTTTTATCATCGATATATATATCTATATATATATATATATATATATAGAGAGAGAGAGAGAGAGAGAGAGAGAGAGAGAGAGAGAGAGAGGCCAGATTTGCTTCAATAGTTTAGGGTTTGTTTATTCTAGTTTTGGAGTATTTTGATACTTGGGTTGTTTTTTGAGAAATAATAATTTAAATAAAAAATATGTATTTGATTTATATTTTGGGCTAGTGTGTAAAAAGATGGGGTGTTTTCTTTTTGTGAAAAAAATTATATTTTTTTTTAAAAAAATTAATATATTACACATATTCATTAATTTTATATTATCTAGACAATTTTTTATACATTCATATAAAAAAATATTCAGTCAAACTATTTCACAGAATAAATACACCAATTCTTTTTTTATTTGAGTATGAATTTTAATTTAGTGTGTACTTTTCGGCTTTGATAATAAAAATATATATATAAAAAGCAGTTAAAAATAATAATAATAAATGAAAAAGGTAGTATAATTTTTTAGTAAAAAGGGAAATAAACATTTTTTTATATATAATAAGCAAATAAGCAAAGAGAATATTTTTTTTTTATATAATAGAATAAGTACTATAAATAGATATTGGATTTGATATTTTAAATAAAATACTCCCTTCATCTGGTAACTAAGAATTTCATGTACATTTTGCGCCATTATACATAACATTAAAAATATTATTATTTGTGTACAATTTATTATATAAATATTATTATATTTGTAATTTGTATTATAAGATAGTAACAGAAGTTTTTTTTTCCTCAACTATATTTTGATAAATAATTAATATTCAAATTTTAAATACAAACTGGATTGAAATTTGATATAGCTTAATATTTTGTATAAAAAGTAATATTTATATAATACTTTTAAGTAAAAAATAGATTTTGCTTTGATATTAAGAGAATAAAATGATAAATAATGTGAGTCTAAAATCTACATCCAAATTAAAGATATGTAATCAAAAGGTTGGTTGAAATTGTGTTTCTCCAGTACTTCTATGGGTATAAAAGTTTATCTACATTAAGATGTTCATTATATTAGATTTCAAGTTGCAATTATTAGCTTGTTTAAAATGAGTTGTCAAAATATAGAACTTCTACGGATTCTCAAGAATTCAACGAATCCTCATTCACACATAACACAAAGCTTATTAAAGACTTTCGTTAATATAAAGTCACGGGGGTGTAATGGTATTAATTTGTAACTTATTGTCACGAAAATGTCACAATTATAAAATATTCACGAATTTTTTTTTTTTTTTTGCAGCTTCTGTTTCTATATAAAGTCACGGACATGTCATGGTATAATTATGTAACTTATTGTCACATAAATGTCACTACTTAAAAAAAAAGTAGTGACTTGCAAAATTCCACGGAAATGATTTCGTATATTTTTCCGTAACTTTTTAGTAAAAAAATTATCAATTTGTATTAAAATCGTGACTTTTTTTTACTGCAACTATAGTCTAATTTTCTGGGAGTGTTAGAATTAAAACTCACTTTTCATTTTGGATTTCATCTTCGCAAAGCATAGGTATATCAAGGGTTGCATTCTCATATTTTGTAACCTTTCTTTTATATATATACAATCGCAATTCTCACGTTATTTTTTTATCACAAAATATTATATCAAACCATTGTTATATAGACTCAAATTGTGTGCATAGACCCAATTCCAAACAAATCGTAATTGTATCAAGTTACAACTATTATTTGAATCACATTAAGTTTCAAATAATATTGTAATTTTTATATAAAATATATATATATATAAAAAAAAAAATTATATCTCATAATGCACCATTAATAATTCAATTCTGTTATACAGTAGTAGTGGTCTATATATTATTTTAGGTTCGGCATAACTACCAAATATGGCAATTTATATTATGAAATTGAATAGAGAATTTGAGTTAAAATGCATGGTCCCTCATAATAAAATACTTCCTCCCTCCAACTAGAAAATATTTCATTAAATACCTTACGTTTTCCATAAATATCCTTACTTTATATCACATCATTACTTTTACACAAAAAAAAGTAAAGGTAAAAATGTCATTACACTACTATTAATTACTCACTATAATTAAAATACTATTATTTTTTAAATATCGCGCCAAAAATAAATATATACATTGTAAGAGAAGGGAGGGGGAGTATTATATAAAAGACCATGAACATTTTATAATATATAAATGTGTGTGTGTGTGTGTGAAATTTAATAGAGAGGACTTAAAATGTTGGTTTGACTTGGGGTTTGGCCTCCCAACCCCATTAGTCTATATTTATTTATTTACCATTTAATATCTCATATTTTAAAAATAAATACTATTACATCTAACTTGTAATGTTCATAAGAAAATATTATATCTAATAATTATTTAATCTCAAAAACATTTACATACAATACTCATTTTGAATACAAAATTTCACATAAAATTTTACATTTTCACTTCAAAAATTCTAACATATGTTATTTTATGTAAAACCATGTGCTCCTGACCCAATCTTCATTGTATATATATTCATTTATTTATTATAAATATAATGACCTCCAATAAAGAGGTGTTAATTTCTCGTAAAAAAAAAAAAAAAAAAAAATCACATCTAATAAATATTTTGCCTAAATATAAAAACTCACAAATACCGATTTTGTTCTTCTTACTTTTTTTCTCTCACGTTTCTCCAAGAATATTAATACACCACTGTTGGGAACATACAAGAGAAGAGATAGAAAAATAAAATAACAAGACACGAGAATTTAACATGGTTCGGTCTCACAACAGACTTACATCTATGATTCCAAAACGGGATAATCCACTAAAATATTTATTACAATTTTTGCACGGATAAAATTGCAAAACCCTCCTCACAATAACTCACCGATTTCAGTTTTACCCTCTCTAGTTACTAAAGAAAAAATCTTATTGTCATCTTCTAAAATATGACCCAAATGGGTATTTATAGGAGTCAATGCCCCTATTTTTTTATCTACTTTTAATGTGGGACATGAAAAGTTATACAACAAATCCTCCATCTTCCCGTAGTCTCACATATTTCGACCATGTCAGAAAAATGAACTCTCTTCTTGATTTTCCGATTCTTCATATCATTGTTGCTCTCCACATTTGCTCGCCAGACGCATCCATCTAGATAATAGATGTTGTTTTGTTTCTTCCTCCCTTGCATAATCAAATTGTCACCCTTGTACACTTTGCATAGATTTTTAGTGCCAACATATCTATGCCCATGTGAAATCAACTCGCCCAATGAAATAGCATTAGCTCCAACAATAGGCACATACCTCACATTAAAAATTGTTTTGACATTACCATTGTGGAGCTTCAAGCGAACTCTTCCAATGTCTTCAATTTGCTGCTTCATCTTATTCCCCATATTGATATAGCCAAAATCTCTCTTTGTATGCAAAGTATCAAATAAAGCTTGATCTTTACATATATGGACATCGGCAGCAGAATCCATCACCCAATTAGAATTCTCAACAGGATTTGTATTTAAAAGAAGTAAATCACCTTCATAATTGACCACGTTCGCAGAGTTTTCAACTTTCGACTTACCCTTCAAATTTCTCAAACTTCTCAAGTCTTCTTTAAAAAGTCGACAGCGATTTTGAATGTGACCAAACTCTCCACAATAATGACACTCAACAAAGATGTAATCTCTCGGCCGAGATTTCGATCTTCCACCACGGTCACTCTTCATTTTCCTCCCTCTTTCAGAACTCTCCACAGCTAGTAGTTGACCCTCCTTTGAAGCGCCTTCACTTTCCATTATCTTGTCATTCTTCTTCAAAACCTTTATCGTCTCATTCAATTTCAATGTAGTTTTTCCAACTAACATTGATTGCAGCAACGGTTTGTAGGGTTTGGGCAATGAAGCTAACAAGAGCAATGCTTGCTTTTCTTCTTTAATTTTCTCTCATGTATTCAACAGTCGACATACTAGCTCATTAAACTTGTTAGTATGGTCAATTATATTACCTCTTTCCTCCATCTTCAAAGAGTATAGATCCATCTTCATAATCAGACAGTTAGTCAACGTCTCCGTGGCAAATTTACTCTCCAAAGTATCCCACAACTTCTTCGGCGATGTTTCCGTCAACACAATAACCTTTATCTGCGGGGTGAGTGTCAATCGAATCGTGCTAACAGCCTTTTCCGGATCATACTTCAATCACCTTCTTTCATACCTTCTGGATTTACATCTTCCAAGGCAACATCAAGACCTTGCTGCACCAAATAGTCTTGAATTGTGCTTTGCCACATAGTAAAATCATTTTTCCCATCAAAGAGCGAAACCTCATATTTCAAAGTAGTGGACATAGTGCTTAATAAATCTCCAATATACAAGCACTTCCAACAACCAAATAAACTGAGGCTAAAAAATAAAGTCAAGAACTCAATCAGGCAGAACCGACCTTTCTGGCAGAAATTTGGTGTGTTGTCGGAACCTGCTGCGGATAGCGTGCCGTCAACTTCTCTCGAAACGCCTCCTGCTCCTTCTCTCCCCCATTTGCCAAGACCTCGCTCAAAAATGACATCGCTATCGCTTTAATACCACTTGTTAGGAACACACAAGGGAAGAGAGAAAAAAAAAATAACAATACACGAGAATTTAACGTGGTTTGGTCTCACAACAGACCTACATCCACGATCTAAAAACGGGATAATCCACTAAAATATTTATTACAATTTTTGCACGAATAAAATTGCAAAACCCTCCTCACAACAACTCATCAATCTCAATTTCACTCTCTCTAGTTACTAAAAAAAAAAAGACTTGTTGTCATCTTCTAAAATAGGATTCAAAATGGTCAATTTATAGGAGCCAATGTCCCTGCCTTTATATCTACTTCCGATGTGGGACATAAAAAATTACACAACAACTACACACATTCACTATTTTATATTCTCTAGGATCACCACTTTCGCCGATGCGGTGGAGAGTGTGGCGGCAAGCGGTGTTCCGGCGGTGCCGCCGCCGCCGACTATGTAGTCGGAGTACTCCTCCGGCAGCGCCGAAGTACCTTCCCTCACGAAAGCATACGGAGCTACAGAAAATGGTTTTACAAAAAATTGATGAGATTCTTGTTTAATGAATTTGATAAATTACTTTATCACTAAATATAATACTAACTCTCTTGGCTCTAAGAGTTCTATTTACTTTTACTTTTTGCGTGTTTGATCTTTAAATATTAATTATTATATAAAAACATAGTACAAATTAAGAAAAAATGACAAAAATACTTCTAATAGAAGAATATTTGTAAAAAAATTATACAAATATAAAAATATTTATAATATTAAGTACAATGATGCAAAAGATAAATGTGAGACTCTTATAGGTGGACGGACGAAGTATTACATTCAAATAACTGTTACATATATATATATAGTTGTAAATTTAGTAAAATATGCAAATATTTATGGATGATTCTAATTGATTTCATTACTTTGCCATGCTTGTAGGTATATGGGAGTGAAAATTCTCCAGCAGCGATCGAACTGATATACATTGAAGTTATTGAGTAGATATATATATATATTTTCAATAACTTCCTATTGGAGAGAATAAATAAATAAACAATCATATAAGATTTCCTTCAAAATTTTTAAATTCAAGTTGGCTTCATTAGTGAAGCTCCTACAGTGACGTATTTCACATGCAAAAATATTAATTCTAAACACTAAATTGGAGTTAATGCTCCAGAAAAATTATCAAACTCCAAAAAGTTTGTTATGTTCAGATATTGTCATATATATTTATTGTAAAATTAAATAAAATGCAAACAACACATCAATATTCGTTTACCCGGTTCAAACTCCAACTTGGCCTACCTTTGGATTTGGAATACCAATCCATAGATATTTAACTATGACAATTTATACTTTCAGAATATTATTGTGATTGATTTTGAGATAACTCTTACTTTCAGAATATTATTGTGATTGATTTTGAGATAACTCTTACTTTCAAACTATTTTCATGACTTTTTTTTTTTTTTTTTTTTAAGACAATTCATATTTTCAAAATAGGTTTTGTGATTAATTTCAAGATAACTTATACTCTCGGATCATCTCCGTGACTTAGTTTCAGACAATTCATAGTTTTGGATTTTATATTTTTATTACGTAATATTGCATTACTATAATTTTAAAATTTAAGTAATTGGATCAAATTAGAACACTAACCGCCATTAAATTTTGTAAACGGGAGTGATTCCGAGTAAATGGAAGCACGTGCGCATGACACGTGCTGTAGCTTCGCAAAGTAGCAGCCGGCTTGTCTCCTCTGCTGATCCCACAACCTGCAAATAATAATAATCATGCAAAATGGCTCAATTTTATACATATGTATGTGTAAATATATATATATATATATATATCATTTATTTATTTCACTCATACCTGGCAGTTGGTGTAGAATCTTGTGAAATCTTCTGATAAATTGTACAAATATTCACACAACACATTGGGTAGCAGATTGTTGCAAGCCTCTTCAACTCTCTGAAACACACCACACAAACACACAGTAAGTAAAGATTTTGATGCCATGAAGAAGAGGATCCTAAGATCAAGCTGACACTGTGAAAATAAATTTTACCTCAGCAAACTGGAGCAGATGAAGTCCTAATACACGTTCGTCGGGATGAGCTAGGTCTAGAGTTCCCGTCTGTCCACGTAAATAACATCGTGTGAAAGCAGACATTACAAAAATGAGAATGATGCAAGAACTACATTGTAAAATCTAAAGTTTCTAGCAAGGGAAAGAGGACTGGTTGGTTACCTTTATCAATTCTTCTATGTCTTTTTACCCGATTTCCGGATAATAGAGCAGATCCGAGCATGTGCATACAGCAAATACACAGCAGTATTTCCCTGATTCAAATAAAGAAACGATGAATAAGATAAAAATTAATTATCCAAACACTAAAAAATAAAAAGCCAACAAGAGGTATTCATTATCTTCGACAATGCAGCAATTCATTTCTAGAGGAACGGAAAAATGCATACCTTGTCGTTGAGCATTTGGTCAAAACTAAAGGTGTAGTTGGTAGTCCTGTTGTTCTTGAGATCGGCGTATCTGTTTTTGCACAAACATGTGAAAAATAAATAAATGAAATACATTCATCAAAATTTTGTAAAATTAAATAAAGCAAAAACGGAAGAGTAGTGTAACATTCCTATCAAACCGAACAAAATAGGCAAATAGCACATGAAAATGTTTAAGTATTGCTCAAAAATAGAACTAAATAAAGCATCTGGCAGATATCATTCATATAGATAATATCTGAAGATTACTCACTTAACGGCACCATATCCAACTGCTTCAGCAGTTTTATCAAGCTCCTCTTCGCTCCACTCTTTATCTTTACCTGGGATATAATTGAACCACTCGTCAATTTCGAATTTCACTCCACGAGTAGTTTGTGCAATATATAGAAAGAGTTTAACATAGTTATAACAGCATATTTACCTCTTTCGATTAGAGCAGCTTTGCATTTATTTTTGGCTTCATCAAGTAAATCAACCAATTTTACAGTTTCAGTACTGCGAGTACGGAATCGCTTCCCGTCCTCGCCTAGGACAAGCCCAAAACCTACATGGATAGCTTTAGGATATTTATTATCCTCTGCTGGAAGCCAACCAGCTAACTTGGCAGCCTGAGAATATTGCAGATAGGTTTTTTTGCCGCACGTATCGACATATAGAGGCATGCCATACATCAGAAGCTCATACTTACTGTAAATAACATTTCGAAGTGCTCCCGCTGACCAACGTCAGTTAAATATATAATCCACTCGGCCTTTTCCTCATTTATTCGATACCTATAAGTTGCACAGCGTGGATCTTGAAGTAAAAGCATTTTATATCGTTTTTGCAGCAGAAGAGCTTACAAACTACAAGTGCAGGTTTTGAGATCAAGAAATGATTGGTGCAATGCATCAGATCGAGCAAGATGATTATAAATATTAATGGCAACAATATTAGAAGCATGTGGAGACAGTCATATAAAAGTTCATTGAACTGATGATCTAAAAAAAAAAGTGAAAATACTTGGAAGTACACGTGACGTAAATAAACAAAAAACAGACTCACCATAAAGCAGCAAGATCAGTTGAGGCATAGTTGTATCCACCATCCCTCTTGACGACAATAAACGGTATATTTTTACCTTCAATGACAATTACCCGAGCACCTTCACTATCTTGAATTAATCCTTTTTCATTCAGTAACTTAAGAGTCCCAGGTATATAGGGATTGTAGAAACTTTCCCCCTGAAGATGAGAAAAAAAAAAAAAACACATTTAGCAGAAGCTGAAAACACAAGCACAAACATTATAGACATATCCCTATAAATTGTAAATGGTTCATCTCTGGTGAAGAGTGAAAATTGCTTAACGGCTAACTCGATGGATATTCCATCGCAGCTGAACAGACAAATTAAGTATTGCCTGAATCGCCAGAACTACAATGTATTAATTGGAACATTACCCCTCTAGGGATCACATAATGCAGAAAATATCTTCCCAAAGCTTCAAATGGGAAGCACTAGCAACCTAAAGAGAAGTTCCTCGAATACCTTTTCCTCTAAATGAACACAAAGACGTTGATAAACCCTTTCAAATCCTCTTCGACTAATTTCACAAATTTGAGCCCATGCATTACGGTATCTCTCATCTCCAGCCTGCAACATAGATACAGCATCATGTATAAAAAGTATAAACAGACAGCTGCAGTTCAACACAAAACTGAGAAACTGAGATGATTATTTCTTCTTGAATATTGCTCTAGAAGATTGACTACAGCCTGTTGAGCCCACAACAATCGTTAAGCAACCCAGACATTTACCTGAAGATTGACTACAGCCTGTTGAGCCCTCTCCTTGAAAGCAGGATCACTATCAAATCTCTGCTTTGAAGCCTTGTAGAACGTCTGAAAAGCAAAAGGTCATAAATAGGAGCGTATGAAACAGTCAAAAATAAATAAAAAGCTCGGATATTTATCGTCTATAACATGGTGTGGGAATTCACCTAACATTCCGAAGATGGAAATCAAATTATATTGGTGACTGGATAGTGTTCTAGAGAGAGAGAGAGAGGTGATGAATAAGATTACCTTTGGATTTGATAATACATAATGCAATTTTTTTAAAAAAAAAAAAAAAATGTTTATCTTTACATACAGAAGTTGTTCTCTGATAGGGTACTAGTAAAAATGGAGGTGTATTATATGATTCCACCGGACAAATACAAGTAACGCAGTTAATGAAGCACAATAAGTCACTAAATCAGTATTTTATCTACATACAGAAATTACATGCACTCCCTATGCAAGTGTCTAAAGGACAATGTAAATCCACAAGATAAGATTAAGGACAGAAGAGTACTAAATTATTTCACCTCACCTCCAGGTCTCCAATGGCTTGATCACTAACTTCCCCATGTGGAAATGCATCAAACAGGTGTTCAATAAGCATACCAAACTGGAAAGCACTAAGCCAACATCAGCGCACATGATATGCTTACAATGAACAAAACTCGTTTCCAGGAAATTTTGAATCTAATCTTTAAAAGTGCTTTGTATCAACATCAAGGAAAAATAAGAAATCAAAAATGTTGTTTGCTTGGAGGAAACAAAAATATAAAAATTAGAACAAAAAGATTATGGAAAGCTAAGAAATTCCCAATTTCGACTATCAATGATTTTCAACCTGAATGACTACTACAATTACAGGCAGCAGTAGCTAATACCTGTGTCCCCCAGTCTCCAACATGGTTTCTTCGAAGAACCTCCACATTTGAATACTCCAACATCCTGGCCAGAGTATCTCCAATTATTGTTGATCTTAAGTGACCAACATGCATTTCTTTCGCTATGTTTGGTGATGAAAAATCAACTATGGCCCTTTTAACAGGGAGCTTAGGTGACCATGTTTCAATCCCATCAATTAGCATCTTTTGAATGTTCTGCACCATTTGGGTAATAATATCATAGAGAGATCTTTCACAGGAGATTAGAATATTTCACTTTAAATTTGGGCAATGATGAAATTACTTTAGCAATCCATCGATGGGATAGCACAACATTTACGAAGCCAGCTCCGGCAATTGAGCAGGAATCTATCATCTCTGATGCAGGAAGATTCTTCATAATGGCCTATGATGCAAACACAAGCAAACATGCAATTCATGCCAACACTAAATGTGTAATTACCTGAGAATTAAAAGAAAGACTGTATAATTGTCCACACCTGTCCTATTGGTTGAGGGCCTCTGAACTGCGTGCCCTTTCCTTTAATTTTCGACCACAAAGACATCGCATTATTGCTGTTTCAAGAAGAAAAAAATCCACAATGAGTAATCACAAATAAGGTCGACATGATTGCCTACGCCACCAGTGTAATACCCAACCCATAACAGAATCATCTCATTAGATGTTTAATGAATTTGATTGTTTTAACCATTGTCAATATGTTCATTTTGATTGGATACATACTTTTGAGTTTTTATTTTTTGTGAGTGAATTTGATCTCATTAGATAGGCCTTCAAGTTATCTTTTCAATGCCATTTACAAAGATTCATAATATTGGGCAAAAGAGATATGTTCAATTTAGTAAAAGTTGTATGTTAAAGAATTTATATCACAACTGTTAACTTCCAAAATTCACCATAAAAAAAAATCGTGTATAGATCAAATTGATCTGAATTATAAAAATAGATAGAAATTTGAGTTAGCTATCTGTTGCCATAAACGAGAGGTCAATCAGAGATAGGACGAGTGAGTTACAACACAAACAATGTCTTAATGTCCAGGTCGTATGGTCACTGTACGGTCAAAAGATTTTAAAAAGCATGTTTTGCATATTTTGATGTATTAAAAACGCCTTCAACCCTCCCTTCTCTCCTATTTCATACTCCAACAGCGGATAAGGTTCATGGGAGATTAGGGAATCACTCAATTTCATTTTAAGTTGATTTTTACGATTGTCCGGAGGTCCCGTCCGGCTTGGAGTTGTGTCATGTTTTCATTGGGCGAGATAAGCCTACGATTAAGGTAAAGAGTTAAATTATGCACGTTTGAAATGAATGGACCGTCATGATTATGTCTTTGTGATATATGGTGAACTTGTTGTGATATGATACTACTAATTGCTAAATTGAGTTGATGTGATATATAGTGTATATGATAAATTGTTTATTGGGTTATTGATTCGGTTGGTGGACAAATAATTATTGATAAATTGTATAAACCGTAGATTTGACTAAACTTAGCCGATGATTGGCAAATCGGTTGATAAATTATATAAGCCGTGAATTTGGCTAGACTTAGCCGTTGATTAGCAAATCGACTGATAAATTGTATAAGCCGTGGATTTTGGTAACACTTAGTCATTGCTTGGCAAGTCGATTGATATATTGTATAAGCCGTGGATTTGGTTAGACTTAGCCGTAGATTGGCAAGTCGATTGAAAATTGTATAACTCGTGGATTTGGCTAGACTTAGTCGTTGATTGGCAAGTCGATTCTAAATTGTATTAGCCGTGTATTTGGCTAGATTTAGTTGTTGATTGACAAGTTGATTGGTAAAATGTATAAGTCGTGAATTTGGCTAGACTTAGCCGTTGACTGGCAAGTCGATTGATAAATTGTATAAGTCATGGATTTGGCTAGACTTAGTCGTTGATTGGAAAATCGATTGATAAATTGTATAAGCCGTCAATTTGGCTAGACTTAGCCATTGATTGGCAAGTGGATTGGTAAATTACATAGATCGTATATGTGACTAGACTTAACCATTGATTGGTAAGTCGATTGGTAAATTGTGTAAGCCGTGGATTTAGATAGACTTAGCTGATGATTGACAAGTCGATTGATAAATTGTACAAGCCGTGGATTTGGCTAAACCTAATCGTTGATTGACAAATCGATTGGTTAATTGTGTAAGTCATGAATTTGACTAAACTTAACCATTCATTGGCAATTCGATTGATAAATTGTGATAGCCATGGATTTAGCTAGATTTAGCCATTTTGGCAAGTTAATTAATAATTGTGTGAGCCGTTGATTTGACTAGGTTTAGCGGTTACTTGGCAAGTTGGTTGATCAATTAAGTGACCCGTAGATTTCGGATAGTTGTAGTTGTTGCTTGGCTAACACTTATTGTTGGTAATTTATTTCATGCATTGTATATTTAATTCCTTACTAAGCTCTTGCTAATGCTTGTACTTTCTTCAATGCAGAGTTAGAATCTAAGATCTTCGTCAACTTGATGCATCATAGCAATAGACTATTATAAAGCATGCATGACCTTCTACAATTACATATTTTAAAGTAATTGTGGATGTTGGTGAAAATATTTTATGACTTCCGCCGAACAAAATGTTTGCACTTATTTTTATTATATTTTAGTCTTGGCATCGAGACACGGTACGTCTTGTTGTTTCGGTGTTGGCTTGTGACATTTCTATAAAAATTTTGGGATGTTACAACCAATTCAGAGGCACACGCTGTTTTTTTCAATACGTAAAAACAAAAAGAAATTGTGAATGAGAGTGAATGAACAATACCATTGGTAGTCACCAAATTTAGCATTTTGGCATGGAGCAATGAGAGGATCCACATCCAACTCCTCAGGAACTGTAACTCTCAAAGATTCTTCAAACAACTTAGCAAGTTGTTGCCTAACACTTCCACGGATGTTTTCGTCCTGTTTCACGATATCAAACCAGGTTTATGACAGGAATGGCAGTCCTAGGCTGACTTGGCTTTCATAGGTCCAGTAAATCCATATGAAATATGAACATGTTTAACATGATCATAGTTACCTTTTGACTGTTTACATCCGTGATTTTCTAAAGAAATGAAACATCAGTGCAATGTTTGAGAACTTACAGTTGCCATACTCGACGATGTCTTAGCACTGAGAAAAGGTCTGCAGGAATTAATAAGAGTACCTGTTAAGTTTCATGAAAACAAAATAATTATGGAAAGAACGAACTTTTGCACACATAAAACAAAAACTAATGAAGGCGGCGGCTGCAGTGCTGCTGACAATTCACCGCAGCACACGGTGTTATTACCGGCAGTACACCGTATGCATTCATATAATACAAATATAGCACATGAACTAACAGCACATGCTATAGTATTATACAGCACAATCAATACTTAGCACACCACATACAGTTATACAACACACTTGTAATCATGAACCAACAACACATCAACTTACGGCAAGTGCTATAGTCTTATACATCACAAATACTAATTGATTTTAGCACACCACGTCCTGTTATACAGCACGCTATAATTATAAAGTAACATCACCCGTCATTATTATACACAGCTGTGTGTTGTATATAATAAAACTGTGTGTTGTTTGTATATATTATATTACGGGTACTGATTCTTCGAATTCAGCACCCTAACCGTTCCCCGCTAATGAAAGTTTCCGTTTATTCTAAATAGTTGCACCATTAGCTCTCATAAAATACAAGCAACATTACTGTATTGCCAGTTAGAATTTTCTGAGGAAAAAAAAGACAGTAAAAAAGTGCCCCAATTACAGAGATGATCGTAACGAAAAAAAAAAAAATAAAGAAAGAAAAAGCAAACAAAATCAAGTTATAAATATACCATCTCAGTATAAACCTAAGTTCCAGCATTCCTATCCCACTTTTAACATTCTACAATCAAAACTCCATGACTGATTATCATCACTTGTAAGCAAATTAACATAAATCAACGCAGTAGCATACGGGCCCAGCAACAAAATACGGTCTCACCGTTGACACCAAAATGAGAAGGGAGGAAACAGAGGCGACGGAGCTGCGGCGGAGCGAAGACCGGCGGAAGCGAGGAATTCGTGGCGCGCGATGCGGTCGAGTACTCGATTTCAACGCGGCGATGCGGGTCAGCCCGAAGCCCGGCCCGGGTGCCTAGGGTTTCAAGTGGATTAGCTCTTGCGTTATTTTATTAAAATAAAAGATAAAAAGAAAAAAAAAAAAGTGTGGAAACCCGCGGCCGCTGTACTCACCGCGAACCGGCAGAACTTAATGCTTTGCAAATCAGTCGCACAGACTTGCGAGAGTTTGTTTGATTAGTATTCTGGGTTGATGTATTTTTTATATAAATATTATATATTAAAAAAAAAATGTATTATCATAATTTATTTAATTGAACACACCTTTATAAATGTAGTACTCTCACTTACAGTGTGGGAATCCGCAGTAAGTCATATTAGGTGAATCATGTATGGCATGTGACTTTGAGCCGAGCTTTTGAACCTATGACCTCACAGTCACAAATCCAATCTCTACACTACCAAATGGTCCCTTACGAAACTATTCCTTTTAGTTGAATTAAAAATCAATTGTGAGTTAAATGTAATTATTTGAGCTATCAGTAATATTATTAAGCCCATGTTAAGTGATTTAATGTATTGGACTTTAAATTTGATAATTTTGTTACACTATAGCTCAATTCGATGCGAACACAAACCTGAAAACAAGAATTGACACTTCTAAACTTGTGTTTAGGGGTTAGTTTATAAATAAATGAAAAACATTACTTGTATAAATTGTCCGTAAATATTATTAAAATTTACATATCTGACACATATGTAAATAAAATGCATGTCACTAATACTTATTTCCAAGTGTGTATTACTATACAACAGTAACATATACGACAACAGTAAATATTAATTGTATCGATTATTCATATCTTATAATTCTTTGTAATCATATATTTTTTCACTATTAAACCCTCGTGTATATAATATTGCTTCGATAAGCCCTCTTTTATAACTTGGATCGTTCTTGAAGAAGCTTATGTCCCATATATCTGCATAATTAGTCGATCCATGTCATATAAAATATATATATATATATTGCAATTAAGGCTATATATGCTTCGGTTACTTAGACATCAATCGTGTTTATTTTTTTAAAAAATACAAAGTAAATATCCAGAAGATTAATCTTTAGTACAAACAGTATTGTACTCTTGAAATAAAAGCATATTTGGTGTTCTGCGAAAGTTGGGGTGTGTTTGTTTGAGGATTTGGATTTTGAGTTAAGATTTAAATAGTAAAAATTCTGAATTTGAATAGTTGTATGATGTGATTTTAATAAGTGTTTGATGTGATATTTTGAATGTAAAATTAATTTTTAGTTTAATTTAAAAAATAAAAAATAAGTATTTGATTTGATTTTTTGGAAAAAAAAAATGTGATGAATTGTAGATTTAAAATCCAATCTTCCAAATAAACACATCAGTAGTGCTATATGAACTTATGATTAGTGCTATCAGTAACAATTGAATAGTGCATTATGAAAATTTAAGCGGTGTTTTTCGAAAAAATCAGCACAGATAGAGGAAAGTAATATTAAGATTTTATTCAAAATATTATTTTCAATTTTTATTTTTTATTTTAAATTTCAAAATTAAGCTTTATCTATTCTTCATTATTTTCACTTTTTATTATTTAATTCTATATATATAATATATTTTTTTTATAAATATACGTCATTTCATATCATACATAGTATCTCTATCGCATTCAAATACTGTATAAATAATATATATATATATATACATATATAAATCACCCATTAAAGACATTAAAATTGTGTATATATATATTTTGGAAGTGTTACGATTTTTTTTAAAATATTTAGAAAATAATAAAAAGTTAAAAGAAAAAATATATATTTTTATATATTATAAATAGACTGATGTTTTGTATAAAAAATAAATTTTGCATGTAATATTTTAAATAAAAATTAGATATTTGATACAACTTGAGAAAATATACGTAAATAAATTTAAAAACCGAGAACGTAATTCGACATTACCTCCCGAGCATCATGACCGTGGCCTGAGGATTGGTTCCCGGAGAGTAGTTAAAGGTGGATCCATCAACTACGCGCAAAGCATCGACGCCGATTACCTTATAGTCCCTATCCACAACCCGATCCACCTGACACCCTCCATGGTAATGCCACACCGTCATTACGGTCTCCTTACAAAATTGCTCGAGGGACACGGCGGGACCCCGCCGTGCCGCCTGTCTCGGCCTCGTGTTAGAGGGAATTGCCAAATTCAATTCAATCAGAGCTTGAAACGAGCTAAAAGGGTACTGAAGAAACGTCGTAGGATCAGATTCAATCACTTTTTTTATAATTTTCATGCCCTTGACGCACCTCTCTAAGTCACGACGATCCTCAAAATAGTTGAACGTAACTTTTGGATTGTCATTTGGATCCCGGCTACGGAGCTCCAAATGCCCCGACGAGAAAGGTCCGGCAACCTTTTCCAAAATGTGCCCTACTTGAAACTCGGAAGGTTCCGGAAGTCTTGTCTCCGTACGCGTATTTTTTGTTTGGTTTGCGAGCCTCGCGTATTCTTGAGCTATTATTGTTTGAGTTGAAGGTTGTTCGAAGAAGCCACTAAACGTTAAAATGTAGCACCCGATATCGGTTACTCCAACAACTTGTCCTAAGGATTTTGCCATTGGCTTAAGTGTAGGAACGACGATCGTGTTCCTAGGGTTATCGGCCATGCCTCGACCGACCATCGGTTGCTCCATTATTACGGCGATTCCGTGGGACTTGAGATGCTCGGCCGGCCCGAGCCCGCTTAGCATCAAAAGTTGTGGGCTGCCTAATGCCCCGGCCGATAGTATAATCTCATTTTTCGGCCCGTTGTTAAGGTAAGCCGAGTGATGAGTACCGGAAGAGTCCTTAAACATTACTCCATAAGCCTTTGGTCTTTTTTCTGTAAAAAAAAAAATTATTATTAGTTGATACGATATTTTCAATAAAAGAATTAAAATTTTAATATTATATTTGAACAATACTTTCTCAATCCAAAAACTTATGTGGTTTTATTTGTACATGAAAATTAAAAAATAATGATATTTTGTTATTAAAATTGTATAGATAAAAAATAAAATAAGAGTATTAAGAAAAAAGTTCAATAGAAAAAAATATATAGAGAGAGAATAAGTAAAAAAAAAAAGTAGCAAAATTATTATTATTTCTTAAAATATATAGAATAAAACTATGAGCGATAAAATAATTTATTATAAATATATTGTGTATAAGTTTGACATATAACAATAAAAAAAAAAAAAAAATTAATATAATTTTGGTCAAAAGAATTAATAACTTTTGCATCAAATAAAAGTTGATTAAAAACAAAAAAACCAAGAATAAAATTGAACATATGAAGCCTTATTTGAGTATTATAAATGTGAGAATAATACTAGGATTAATAATCTTCTGAAAAATAGCTGCAAAATATATATAATTACTTACCGAATTTTTTCCGTCACTATTACCGATGGAATTAGTGACGGATTGTAATGGAATTATTATTGACTTTTTTAAAATTATCGATGAAATTATTTACCAAGTTAAAAGGTTAATGAAATTATAGATAGAATTCCTTAAATAATTGAGTTTTTGTTAGTGTTACTTGTGGTTATTACCATATGATGTGTTGAATAATATCTTATCCACAGTTGCGTGTAAAAACACGGCCGTCTTGGCTGAATCTGCATACTCCAATAAATCCGCGGCGGTATGCCGGTATCCGTTTTCATCGACTATGGTTCCTCCGACTTTCGTCCCGACCAAATGCTCGTACGTGAAACCTCTATCCGGCCGCACTCCGGCCTCAAGCAACCCGCCGCGCACCGCCGCCTGCCACGGCACAACCCGCGGCCGGAACACCAATTTCCGCTCGACCCACTCGTACGACTCCCGCACGAGCGCCGGGTACCACCCCGCGCCGCGCACGTACTCGTGGCTAGCGCGTACGTGGAACCCGGCATTGATGGCGGAGCCGCCGCCGAGCACGCGGGCGCGGTGGTTGAAGACGCCGTCGGCGGAGGTGAATTGTTGCGCGGCAGAGGTTGGCGACGTGTCGGCGAGCGACATCCCAAATCCGGCGAGGTCGGTTACGTTCGAATTCTCGTACGGTGAGCCGCCTCGCTCTAACAAAAGTACTTTTGCGGAAGCCGAGAGCGTCGCCGCCAGTGCGCAGCCGGCGGCTCCGCCGCCGGCGACTATGTAGTCGTAGTACTCCGCCGCCGGAGCCGCCGTGGCTTCTTTCACAAATGAGTATGGAGCTTTCATCGCATTAAAAAAAAAAAAAAAAAAAAAAATTTAATTGATTGATTAAATTTTTTATTTGAATTAATTATTTTATATATATTTATATGTCATATAAGAATGTGTACGGACCTTTCTCAGCATAAGATAAAGCAAGGAAGAAGAAAATGGCGAAAGAAGCAGCAATTGTAGAGCACTTTGGAAAAATCATATTCACGATTATTTCTTACAATATAGATTTTTAAATTGAGAAATTGTTATATATAATACACTATGTTATATATATATATATATATATTTATTTATTTATTTATTTATATATGTATATATATGGATAGTGTAATAATTAATGAGGAAGAAAGTTGAGAGAGATAGGTGGGGAGAGGTCTGTTGTTTGTTATTTATGTGTATTCTGATGACATTAACATACAATAAATAAATATATATATATATAGAGATACATTATTGCTTGTGGTCTTCTTACAGTTTAAAATAGGATAGGAAGAAATACCTATAAATAGAAGAGTAGCCATTAGGATATAACAATAATAAAACAATAAATATATGTATAAAAGAATAATTTATTAATATTATAATCTAACATTAATAAAATTATTTTATTTAATTAAATACCCTCTCTCTATATATATATATTTAAACTTATTTATAATGGGTTTGTTGGTTGTAATTTTAAGATGAATATATTTTATATTAAATATGAGAAATTGTGTTAGTAATATAAAAATATTATTTTGTGTTTAATTATTAATTTTTTTAGTGGATAAAATATATATTGTATTTTTTAAGAATATTTTTGGAGAATCGTTTAAGTAAAAAGTACTAACAAGTTTGTAATAATATAAGTGAACAAATTCAATATTTACAAACTATAAAATAAAAAGAAAAAAAAATTAAGTTTTATGTTTACTTTTAAAATTAATAAAAAAAGCCTAATAATCCACTAATAGTTATTATAAAATAAATTTTAAAATAAATTAATTAACTGTTTTAATTTGATTTAGGTAGATACGAAAATTTAGGTAAAATTTAAGTAGTAGTAGGTAATTAAGAAGTGTATTAGTATAAATAATTATTATTTAGTAAAAATAATTATAGATCAAAATTAAGATAAGTAAATAGTTTAATTAAGATTAAAAAAATTATAAAATTTAAAACTTAAAATGTGATTAAAGTGGATAATCATATCTCCGAAAAAGAAAATGACAAATTATGTGGAACTGACGAAAATAAAAAATAGGAACAAATTATGTTAGACGGATAGAGTACTATTTTTCTCTTTTATATTACGTGGATGATTTTGCTGATTTAATGGAATTGTAAAATCTATTTTATATATTTGAGTGATTTTGTGTACGAGGATAAAATTTTGTATCATAGGCGTATTGATTGATATGATTTGTTGAAAAATAATTGTGGGTGAAAATCATATGTTTACAGTGACGAAATTAGTATCTAAATTTCGGTATTTAATATTTAATTAATAAATTTAAATAAAAAATAATGATTGAATTATATATAATTTGAATAGCTTGGGAGGACAAATTGTATATAAATACATAAAAATTAATATTTTTAATACTAAAAAAATTATAAAAAATTGGACTTAGTTCCGTCCTTGTGTGTCATTCAGTATATTAGCGTTGGGTTTATTGCCTACATGTTGTTTGTTCATATGCTATATTTTTGTTATGTAAGATTGTTGGAAAGAAATTATTTTTAAGTGAAATATATATAATTGTATAGAAAATATAAAAATAATGAATATGTAAAATGTATTAATTTATTTGGATTTTATGAATTCTTGGTAATCACAAATTTGTGCTTCAATTTGTTTATGGTTTATATTATCTTATAAGTTTATGATAAACTGTTTTTTAATCTCTTAATTGACTTTTTATCATTTTAGTATCATAATTGTCTTACATGTGTCCGCGGAAATGTTACAAAGGTGCAAAATTCACTAAATTTGCAAAAGTTTTCTACTTAGGGTGTGTTCTTTGATGAGATTTGATAATATTTTCACTATTCACTAAATTTTTTTTCTTCAAAAATATCAAATCAAATATTTATTTTTTATTTTTTGATATTATAATAAAAATCAATTTTATGTTCAAATCATCACATCAATATTTATTTATATCACAATCATACAATTATTCCAATTCAAAAATTTTACTATTCAAATCTTAATTCAAAATCAAAACCCCAAACAAACATATCTTTAGAGACTATTTTAAGACAACGTCAAGTTAAAAGACTAAAATAATAAATGGATTAAGTTACGAGACTACAAAATTAATTTACCCTATAAATTATAACGATGGTTTTAGGGATCCGAATCAATGTCTACCTTTATACTAACAAAATTGATGTAAATTGTTCTATAGGTTAAGTATGGAGATGTAACAAGGTGTTTCAATGCTCGAATTTTGGGGGAGAAATTGGATTATACTATTGATGGATTGAGGGAGAAGATTCGATTTCTATTTGATATTTCTCCCAATGTCGTGCTGATTTTGAGATACATTGACGAGGACGGCGATGCACTGCATCTTGTCAACGACGACGATATTTGCGATGTGGTGAAACAGAGTCTGAATCCTCTTCAAATAACTCTTTTGATCGGTTCACGGATAAGTTGAAGTATGCATGGGATTATCGAAATTCTAAAAACTATGCCGGATCGGAGTCTCTGTGCGAAATACTAAATGACAATGTCGTGTATGATGATGTTGCATCTAAGTCATTGCCGTCGGATGTCTCTGAAAATAGCTCGCCGGACGCAACCCTAAAAGTGCGGAGAGATAGGGAGTTTTTCTATTCAAATATCTTCACTCTTAATTTTGCATAATTAGAGCATAAAATATATTTCTGAAAAAGCATCGCTATATTATTTGCATAATTATATATATATATATATTATAAGAGTTTGTGCTCTAGGAGTCCTTCATCCTTATATTTAATAGAGTTTTCAATATTTTTATTTGTGGAACAAATATTTAACAATATTTATATTATATTTATGGTGTTGTGAAAAATTATTTTTACCTAAAAAAATTAGAATAAAAAAAATGTTATGCAGAATCCAATTATGTATATAATGAACATTAGATTATATATAGAAAAAAAAAATGATCTTAATATATAAAAAGTAAAAGAGTAAGATATGCAAATCTAATAATAAATAAATAAATAATTATATACATATAGGCTAATAGTGGAAAAATATAATAATAATGATATTTTAGTTTCTTTTTTTTTTTTTTAATAATCATCAATTTTTTTAATATTTTTGATGAGAGAAAAAATATTTTATATGAATAGTGAAAATAATATGTTTACACAACATTTTTTGAGTATGGTACGGATTGTAGTAAAAAAAAAAGGGGTAATAGCTGAATTTTTGAAGAAAAAATAAATAAAAATAAACTCAAACAAACAATGTCTATTGTATATTTGGGTTTGATTATTAGTTTTATTTTAAATTTGATTTAAATAATAGTATATTTGTATAATAAAGAATCTAGCAAACAAAACAAAATAAAATAATTTACATTATTGTGTTTTATAGATCTTGTTTACGACACATGTTTAATTTGTCTGAATGGTTTGATTTAGAGGTTCGATTGAAAATTCATTTGTACTAAAAACGTAGCAAATATATGTTTCTCACTTCATAAAAAATATTAATAATAATTTTATTAAAAAAAAAAACTATAAAAAGCAACACATCCTAACACACAAGTAAATACTCCCTCGGTCCTATATATATTCATTTACTTTTTATACGAAATTTTAAAAATATTAGTATTATATTGGGATAAAAGTAAAACAACTAAATTAATTCTATTAGTATTGTATGATATAAAGGTAATGATATTTGTGTAATATATTGTAAATTAAAACGATATTTATAATATTAGATAGACAGTACAATTACTAAAAAAAGGAAATGAATACTTTATTATGGATCGAACAAAATAAAAAAAAAAAAATGTTAGATTATTAAAGACGGAGAAAGTACTTTGTAAAGTTCTTTATTGCCTAAAGTTAGATATACCTAATTGTTGAAACGTGACTTGGATTTAGCGGTCTACCCGACCCTAAACCAAAGCGAAAGGGCTGTTTCAATTGGCAGGGTTCCTTTTGGGCTTATCCTAATTAATAACAAATGGACTTAGGGTTTAGGGTGTTTTGGGGTGCTTATAAATAGACAACTATGGTTCTTAGTCGGATGACATATTGTAAATCTCTGAATCAGTATAATAAAATCTCTCCGGTTCCTGCCCGTGGACGTAGGTTGACACACCGTCACCGAACCACGTAAAACCTCTGTGTTCTTTATTTGCTTTCTTTCTCGTTTTCTCATAACAAGTGGTATCAGAGCCATATCCCATTGATTGAAAATGTCCTCGTATAAATTTGATCTGGAGAAGTTTAATGGGTCGAATGACTTCACGCTCTGGAAGGTCAAGATGAGGGCACTTCTGGTTCAACAAGGATGTGCGGCTGCGTTGGAGGGAGAAGACAAGTTTCCTAAAGACACGAAGGAGGAGGTAAATAAGGAGATTTTGGCAAGGGCTCATTCCGCGATCTTGCTGTCAGTTACTGATGAGGTGTTACGGGAGGTTGTAGATCAGACAACGGCTTTTGGGTTATGGAATAAACTGTGTGAGAAGTACCAAAACAACTCCCTCACGAACAGGCTATATCAGAAGCAACGTCTTTACACCCTCCGGATGTCCGAAAGTACTCAGGTAAAGGATCATCTTGATACCTTTAACCGTATCATTCTTGATCTTCAAGGAGTTGAGGTTAAAGTAGATGATGAAGACCAAGCCCTAATTTTATTGTGTTCACTACCTGGTTCATATGAGAATTTTGTAGATACTATGCTATATGGTAGAACTACAATTTCTGTTAATGATGTGAAAGATGCCCTTATGTCCAAAGAATTGAAAAGAAAGGTTTCTCTGGAAGAGGGTTCTGGTTCAGGTCTGTTTGCAGGTAGGGGAAGACCACATGAGAGGGGTAACGGGAATGGGAGGTCGCGTTCAAAATCAAAATCCTCTAGCAAAGTTAAGTGTTATCTTTGCAAAGAGAAAGGGCACGTTAAAAGGGATTGTCCACAAAAGAAGGGAAATACAAAAGTTGATTCTAGTAACAGTGGCAGCAGTGCTGCTGTGGTACAAGACAGTT